TATTGATTGTAAGATGTATCAGAGAAAAAAACTCTGCCAATTAAACTGAAGTACAATAAAACATAAGATGCATCCCAATTTCAGAAATATTAAATGCAAAAAATATACATCTTAGAACGAAATATGGCTTCATTATGCTATTGATGGAGATTTATTTATTTTCAGAAGAGATGGCGAAGCAACATTTTCAAGTAAAAGTAAAGTACAGGCATTTTAAAATGCCATTAAAAATGGAAACAACCTAAAGGTATATCAATAAGGGTCTGACTGTATAAACCATGACACACCTGTACAGTGCAATCCCAGACGACAGTTAGAAAGAGTGAGGTGATATACATGTGGTGATATAGAAAACGTATTTTAAAAATTCACTAAGTAAATAAAGCAAAAAAGAAAACCATTATGTGTAATATAATTCCAGTCTGTGGAAAGAAATCATATGTGAGTGTATAACACACAAATACAAATATGTAATACACACACACACATACACACACCCCTGACTGCATGTGTACAGAAAATTTCTGGGGACTAGTAATGTTAGTCTGACTGAGAATTGGAAGAATTTTGCTTTCCACATTCCATTATTTTATGGTATTTGAATTCCTGAATACGTGTGCACATATTATTTTTATAATAAACATGAAATCGGTAAGTGTTAAATTTTTAAAATTTATAGTAGGAACAGTCTTCGTTACTTTTATGGTTTCATTTTTCTTTTCAACTTTTGCATTTCTCATTCACAGGAAAATGGAACTGGGGGAGCAGTGTCACTTTTCTGTTATTACGCTTATGGATTTTAGTTTAGGTATTATGTATTCTATGGGTAGTACAAACCATTCACACTGTCCTGCTAATCTAAAGGTTGACAGTTCATATCCATCCAGCAGCATCACAGAACCAAGACTTGGCAATCAGCTTCTGTAAAGATTACAGCCAAGAAAACCCTATGGAGCAGTTCTACTCTCTAACACATGGGGTCGCCGTAAGTCAGAACTGACTCAATGGCAATGGGCTTTTTTTTTTTATTGTGTTTTAATTAATAAATAGAATAACCTTCTTATTGCTAAGAATGGATTTAATTCTCCTAAATTGTCGATAAAATAGAGAACAAGTAAGCCCTTATTCTAATTCAATTGCCCTCATCACTTTGAGATTAGCCTTCTCTTGTGTAGAGTTGAAAAGAGAAGAGGCCTACTCTTAGGGTAAGTTCGTGAAATGTGATGTTGTTACGAAAAGTTTCAACTTACCTGGATTAGGTTTCTTTTCCTGAAAGATAATTCTCAGTTAAATTCCTCCATCCCTACAAATCTTGATTTGGCTACTGACTACGCAGAATAAAACTGGAATAGTATGAAAGCCCTTTTACCTACGTTTGTCTATCTTTCTGGTTCTTCAGGTTGAAAAGCATCAGTAGGAGCAAACGTTAGTCAAGTTATTAAAAAACATAACATGTAAAACTCTTCGCTTCAATCTGCTTAATGTACAATGGTCCACAGATTCTTTCCTTAACATAGGTTGAAGATTTAAGAGGCCTTTACACTTTCCTAAGAAATAAAAAGTGATATACCCACTCTACTAAAAAAAAAAACAAAAAAAAATACTCCCATTTCCCAAGCCCCAGAACACTCCTGCTTCTCATACAAAACTCAGTGGTAGTTTCTACCGGGGTAAAGGAAGTAAGGAAATAAGACTTCTGGAAGATAAAGACAAGACAATTTTAGGAAACTTCACCTCAGCACTTCTATGCGCCTGGGTCTCTGTAATCCTCCCCTATGTAGCCACGGAAGACAAGGTTGAAATTCTGCCAGTCATTCCTGTCTAATTGTCTACTTATAGAAAAATCTTAAGTGAGAAGATAAAGATATCAACCACTTTCCCTATCTAAACAATCCTACAAAACAAAGAAAACAAAACTCATGGGAGTAAGAATTTTGCATTTTGGATGCTGTCTCACATTCAAGCAAATCAGTTCTTTCTATCTTTGCCTCATTTTCTCTGCAGAGGTATCGCTGCAGGAATCCTGTTTCTACATGGACTCTCCCCATAAACCGGCATCCTATGGTATGTTCTGCGGACCACACCTGGCTATGTTCAGAGGCAAGCTCTTAAATAAAAAGTATATTACAATAAACAAGATAGACTCTAGCCAAGCTGCCAAAGCATAGTGTTAAACATCAGTCATCAACTGCTTGTTTTATTCACACCAGATGCTACTTTTTTAAAAACTCCAAAGCTGAGTTATTTTTAACAACAAGAACAACTGTTCACTTTTTCAGGACTCTCAGGGAGAGAAATCTCAGCTGCAGAGAACAACTGTTTCCCTATCGGTGAGCCTAGATGGAGCAGGGCTGCAGCAGGTTAAAGACCTTCTCTGTAACTGGACACTGACCCACTAAACCCATTCCCATTGAGTCGATTCCAACTCATAGCGACCCTACAGGACAGAGTAGAACTGCCCCATACGGTTTCCGAAGAGCGGCTGGTGGATTCAAACTGCTGACCTTTTGGTTAGCAGCTGAGCTCTTAACCACTCCGCCACCAGGGCTCCACTGCCCCACTAGTATGTGACAAATCCAGACCAAAGAGAAGCATACTTGTGACCGGCATGACGATCATTTATTTCCTGATTTCCTCAGTGAGTTGTTCCAAAGAGGTTGTTTTTAAAGATCTAGTGTGATTAAAAACGTAGGCTGGGAAGGTTAGACGCAGTGCTATTTTGGCTACATCCTGAATGCACTCAATATTGATTTATTTTGTTGTTGTTGTTGTAGAAACATCTGCAGTAAGATTGTACTAATGCGTTGTACTGCCAATAAAAGTCTGACAGATCATTAAGGAACGAATGAGGAGGCAACGGGTTTGCCAGTTGTCAAGATACATGGCTAAGGTAGAAAAACAGAGTGACATTAGGCTTTTACAAATAGGGGAGGCCTGTCTGAGGAGAGCCATGTAGTTAGTTTTGTTGACATAAGTGAGCAGATAGCATTAGCTTTGCACTAGAATAAATTATACCCATTGTCCAAAAGACTATTTGTAACCACTGTTTTGGGGGGCTTGAGTACAGCAGACTCAACATAATGTTACTAATGCACTGATTTGGATTAGGATCAGGAAAACCATTCTATAGGACAAGCCATGTATTTTATATAGCAATTAGGATTCTGAAATTGATGGAAAAAAGGTTAAATTTTAATTATGACCAACTATGCATGAGTTCTTTGCTAGCTGAAAATCGCACATGTACAAAATTACCTAAGTAGAATCTATTAGCTTGCACGTGAACACTAGTGGGGCCCCAGAATTTGGCATGGTCTCTACAGGAAGGGAAAATAGCAGAAACAGCTTTACTTTTCTTCTGTGGACAGGCGGTAAAGAGCTTCACCCAAGTTTTCTAGTTTCTCCTTGTGTTCGAGGTCCTGGTACAAGCCTTTGGGAATATTGTTTAGGCCATAAAGCAATCCGAACAGGCAACCTGCAATTGTTCCAGTGGCTCCACTCTCACCTGAAACATGAAACACAAGGGTCCTTAGTGGAGTTCTGAAGTCCAGTGAGGGAGAGAATGTATGACAGTGAACTTGAAAATTAACCAGGACCTTTTTAGTGTCACCAGGTCCCTGGGTGGCACAGTTTACACTAGACACTAACTTAAAGGTTGGTGGTTTGAACCAACCCAGTGGTGCCACAGAAGAAAGTCCTGGTGATCTGATTCTGTAAAGATTACAGCCAAGAAAACCCTGTGGAGCACTTCTACTCTGTAAAACATGAGTTGGAACCGACTTGAAGGCAATGGGTTTGGTTTTTTGATTTTACTGTTACCAAAATGATTTCTGCTCTTTTCCCCAGGGGCTCCCTCTCTTAGAGATTTCAACCACTTGTGACTTCAACTACCTCTCCTTTGCTGGCAATTCCTACGGCAAACAATGTTATTGGATCATTCAGCATCTTTCCCCCTTTTCTTGTATCAGAATCCCAGTTTTGTTTTGGGCAGCATTTGACAAGCTCTGGGAAGGCTTTTGCTATTTCTGATAAAAAGGAAGAAATTTTTTCCCACTTTTTTCCTCCTTGAATGCAGATGTGATGCCTGCAGCTGAAATACCATCTTGCAACCATGAAGATGAAAGCTAATACTCTAAGGATGATGGAGAGAAAAGACAGACATTAGCCTGGGTGCCTGATGGTGCTGTTCAGTAGCTGAACCAATGTCAGCAACCAGTCCCCTCTGGACTTCTTAATATGTGAACCCACCTCTATTGCGCTAAGACACTGTCAATTGGCTTTTCTGTTACATGAAGCATAAAGTATCTCTACTGAAGCAATTTCCAAATCTATGTTTTTCCAGCTCTAACCTGATCTGATTCTATTAAGGATTTAGCCAAAAACACCCTATGGAGCAGTTCTACTCTGTAACGTGTGGGGTTGCCATGAGTCCAAATCGACTCGACAGCAATGGATTTGGTTTTTTGGTTTGAACCTATATCTGAATTTTGTTTTTCCAGTTATCTATGGACCATTTCCCCCATGATGTCGCCACTCATTGTCATAAAAAATTACCATATTCCAAAACATTCATAATCTTTCCCTTCCATCCAGGGCTTCTTCCGAACTCCCTGTCTTTATTAACCACTGAGGAGTGGGTGGAGAACTGGATCTAAATTTCAAAGACCCAAATTCAAATTTTGACTCTTCAGAATTATATAACTTGTGCAAGTTAGTTTGCTTCCCTAAGCCTCGTTTGTTTGTTTAATTTATAAAATGAAGAAGTTTGATTAAATATTTATGACATTCTTTGTAGGTTTTAGAGAGTTGCTGGCTCTGAAAAAAATCTGAAACTGCCAACTTCTAAGCTGCTTCATCCTACCATCTCTGTGGCCTGAAACCTTGGGATCACCACTGATTTCTCTCTTCACATAACCTCTATAACCAAGATGTTACTATGTTTTTTCAATTTTTCATAACACATACACCCACATGCATACCCTCACACATTTATTAAGCATCTACTACATGCTAGACATCATGCTGTATACTCTTTACATGACATCTGATCCTATTGCAATCCTATGAAACAGACATTAGCCCATTTTTAAAGACATGGAAACCGAGGCATAGAGAGGTTATATAACTTGCCAAAGATCTATGACTGGTAAAAAGAGACATTGGAATCCAAACCCAATAGGTATGTGACTGAGATGAGTTTGGGGCCACGGTGGGTAGAGTGAGGGTGATGGGCCAGGGCAGGCATTCCCAGGATAAGGGAGATTCCAGGACAGGGGCACATGTTGGGAAGAATTGGGAAGATGGGGCTTCGCCTGAGAAGAAGCCTAAATGTAGATATCCAGGAATAAACAAACAGGATGAGGTGTAGGTGTAGCCTCAGCCAAGTCTAATTCCTCCTTTTTCAGTCCTTTCTTGCCTCCATTCCTCGTTGCCTCGGGTGGCATGCTCTTGCGTTCTCTCCTTTGCTCTCCTTCAACCAAAAATTGCTCTCAGGATAGGACCTGGTATCACTTATTCACTCCTCAGTGGAAACTAAAGTCAGTGTGTGCCATGGGGTTCCTTTTTTTTTTTTTTTTTTACTTTAATTCCTATCTTTAGTTGTGGAACAATAGTTCATCTAGAACTTTCTATGGGTAAATGGCTCTTACAATATATACATAATTGTATACAAATGCCCTTGCTGTCCCGGTGGAGGGGAAGGCTGGGATGGTCAGAAGGGCGCTGTAGAGGGATAGACGGCACCAAGGTCAGGGTCTGCATGTAGTGGGAGTTTTCATTCAGACATAAACTTTCCATCCAGGCTTTCTGGGCTCTGCTGAATTCCACACCTAGCTTCTCCTCCACATTTGGGCACACACCAGCACAGCTGTCCCCTTCCTTATCTCCTTTCTCTCATCACATCTTTTCTCTCAAGTTGTTGACACTTCCCTCACATATTCTCATTAGATTACTCCTTCTGCTCTCCAGCTAAGGGCGCCATAGCTATCAAGGAGTTGGAGCTGTCTAGATTACATTTCCTTCCAGTCTGTACAAAAATATCTCCAGTCCCTAGGATCCTTCACTAATCTCCATCTCTTCGCTAGTCTTTGTAAAATAACTCCCCCACTCTACTTTCTCAAGCTCATATCCCCACTGCCATTCCTCTTAGCTCTGTTTGTCGCCTTCTGGGCTTCTTCTTACCCAGTGGGGGTATCTGTCTGAGTTCCTACTCTCTTTCAGAAGAAAGGTTATAACTGGGTTCTACTGGGAAATGCCAGGATCTCCAACCACTTGGTAGGTTGCATTTCAGATGAGCTCTTGAGGGTCTTTCTGGTGCTGAAAGGTATGGCATGAGAAATAATATAAGGCTCTATGAGTCAAAATCGACTCGATGGCAATGGGTTTAATAATAGAAACTTTGCTGTTTATCAGAACTCTGTGCCAGTCAGAGATTTAAACATTGTGCTTGCTATCATCTTATCTAATGCACACAACAATCCTATGAGGTAGGCACTGCCATGAGAAAATGTACTTAACGAAGTGAAGCAAATTTGTCCAGTCTTTTGGAATGATAACATTGCTATTTATTGAGCACCTACTTTTTTAAAAGCTGTGTTAATCTTGTAGGCACTTCATCTTGAACGGTCACAACAACCCTACAGGGTTGGTATTATTCTCTCCTTTCACAAATGAAGAGATAGAGGCTCAGAGGATCATACAGCTGATGTGAGGTCTTCCTGACCCCAGGTCTTCCTGGCTCCAGAATGTAACCTTTTTCTAAGTTTGCACAGAGTTTCTAAGAGTGAAGTTATGAGATAATGAGTAGTCTTAGAGAAATAGAACTCTGGCTTGGCCAGCAATGCTAGTGAAATCTGCCTTAATCTTGAATCAGTAGCTATAAGGGAGAGGAGCATCCTACATCCCAACTACACCAAATGCTACCTTCTTCTCACTGAGCTCAGTGTGCCAGTCTGGAAGACTCAGACGTGAACTCTTGGCCCCTACTTATGCAAGGGGGTCTATGACCTGGCCTGACATCTATATAATATCCATTCCTGCACATACTTAGGCCAGTAGGAGGGCCAAGGAGTCAGTGACCTCTTCTAGAGCTGGTTTCAAGAAATAGAGATAAGGATCTAACATACTCTGGGGATATCAGAGGCTGTCTCTCCTCAATGCGTGTAACCCTAAGACATCCTGAGAGGGTACTTCTGAATGAGAAGGGAAGGGGATAGCCATTAAAGACCATTAAAGAAGGAAAAACTCACCTCCATGAAACATGGCTCGGTTACAGAGCTCTGTCCAATTACCCCCAGCTCCTAAAAGAGCATCATATGCAATCATGGGAGCATCATGGCCTCTTCTTCCCCCTCGACCTTCTGAGCTCCATTTCCTGTAAGTCTAATGAAAGAATCATAGGTCAGAGGCATGTCCCAAAAATAAAACCATGTTAGTTGGCATTAAAGCAAAAGCATTCACAAATTCATTCCCAATGGACTATAAATTCATTCATTCATTCACTATACATTTATCAAATATCAGCTATGTTGCAGGTACTATTCTAGTGGTGGGAAGAGACAATGAATGAAGCAGAAGAAGACTCAGTTCTCATGGGTCTTATATTTTAATAGCTGAAACAGACATTAAGTAAATAAGCAAATACATAATATAATGTTGGGTAGCAACACATTCTGTGAAGAAAAACAAAGCAGGGAAAAGGGATAGAGTATAATGACGGGGAGTTATCATAGATAGAACGGTCAGAGAAGGCCAATCTGAAGAGGTGACATTTGAGCAGAGCTCTGAATAAAGTGAAGCAATGAGTTGTCAATATCTAAAAGGAGAGTGTTTTAGACAAAAGGAACAGTAAGTGCCAAGGCCCTTAGGCAAGAGATACTTGGCAGGTCAAAAGAAGAGCCAAGAGCGATCATGGCTGGAGCATAGGGAGGGAAAACGGGGGTGGTGTGTGGTTAGAACAGCAGGCAGGGTCCAGATCATGGAGGGCCTTGGAGACCATCAAAAAGACTTTAGAAGGGTTATGGGAACCCAAGAAAGTGGTTTGAGCAAGATGGTGATATAGTATGATTTCAATTTTAAAAGCATCACTGTGGTTGCCATGTAGAGAATAGACTGAAAAGAGGTAAGAGCCAAGACTGGGAGACCAGAGGGGTGGACATTGGTAGTTGCACACCCCACCTCTGCTCTCTCCTGTTCCTTAGTAACAAACTCAGAATTTATTTAGTGCCATGGTGTCTCCATCTAAAGAACTATGTTTCTGAGTCTTCATTGCATCTAGGTGAGGTGCATGAGAGGTAAACAAAGGGGTTGTAGGAATCCTCTTAAAAGGGAAGTTGTGGTGGAACCCTCATCCATTGTTGGTGGCAATGCAAAATGGGAGAGCCACTGTGGAACGCAGTGTGGTGGTTCCTCAAAAAGCTGAATGTAGAACTACCATATGACCCAACAATCCCAATCCTAGGTGTATATCCAAAAGATCTGAAAGCAGGAATGCCAACAGAAACCTCTACACCAATGTTCACTGCAACACTATTCACAATAGCCAAAAGGTGGAAACAACCTAAATGCTCATTTCGCAGCAAGGTTTACCTTTTCTCTCTCCTCTGCATCATAATTCTCAGGAAAGGTGGCTTTATTTTCTTTCCCTTCAGCGATGTTTCTCTCCTCCAAATAAAACTGCCATTTAGCTTCAAAGTAAAACCAGTGCTCCTGGTATTCTAAACATAAAGAACAGGGTAAGTCTGACGCAGGTGGCGGCGCATGATTGTCATCCAGCTGGGGAGTGAGGGAAGGCTGGAGTTTGGGGTCCTGGGATGATGGAATGGGTATAGAGAAATTGTCAGTAAGGAAAGGGAGGGGAGGAAAAGGTGGAGGGCAATCCATCTCCATATGGTATGGAGAAGGTGGGCCACCTTAACACTTGGTCCTAAGAGTAAACTATTTAGCAGTTGTACCTGAGATTTGAAAATGGCTTACATTTGTGGCTATTTTGGGACAAAAACAAGAAAGACAGAGATGGGGGGGAAGCAACTCACGAATTGGCTGACTATATTCTGAAACTAAGATAGCAATTGCAATAGTTTTAAGTGAATTCTGTAACATTCTCATTAATTTCTATTAAATTCAATACTTCGCAAAAACAAAACCAAACCCACTGCCATCGAGTCAATTCCAACTCATAGCGACCCTATAGGACAGAGTAGAACTGCCCCGTAGAGTTTCCAAGGAGCACCTGGTGGATTTGAGCTGCCAACCTTTTGGCTAGCAGCTGTAGCACTTAACCACTACACCACTTTTGAAGTGCCTGCAATGTAGGGAGAGAGGAAGTCTTTCATTATTCCTAATTACCAGCTTGAAATCTAACCCCAGAAATAAATGTTGCAGTGACTTATCCAACGTCACTTGGTGAAGAAGACATTAAGTTAGAAATCTGAAGTATTAACTATATATACTTATTGTCAATATGAAATCCCATGCCAAATCTTCAGAAAATTAAGAGGCAAATCAGATCTTTTTCGACGTGAGCTGTCTTCTATTTGTTTCTCATGCTTAGTATTTAAGACTAGCAACACCCTGCTTTACAGCACGTTGATTACTCTCCACTTTAAAAACCTGAGGCGAGCTGGGACCATGGCCGCCATCTTGCCGCAGAGTAGTATGAGCTGAGTAGGGAGGTTAGGTGGATACATAAGACCCCGTGAGAAACAACACAAGATTCGGAACCGCAGACCCTGTTTTCCTAACTTATTGCTTTCCAATTCATTATTGGAAAGCCTCAGAGAGTGCTAGAGCTATAATATGAGAGGAGTTGGGGCTGAGGAACGGGCAGACAAGAAGAGAATCAGTGGCTGGAAACGGAGAGGAGCTACAAGGAGTAAAACTGGAAGCTGTGTTTCCGGTGTTGGTTTCTCCAATCAGAGACGCGCCGGGAAGTGCCGTGGCACACGTTCTCCAGGGTGAGGTTCTAGGTTCCTGCGGGAATCACAGGCCCTCTGAAGTGTTTGACTGGCTTGTTTTTTAAAAAAATTAAAAGCAAAGCCCACCTAAGGGTTTGTTCAGTGAAATAAGATTAAAAGTGAAAGTCCCGGAAGCAACCAGGCAAGGACT